TCGGGCTTGTATTATCTATTTGGTTCGCAATTAACTTGAAATCGGATAGATAGATATGAGAGCTATATCTAAATCTGAACCGATCTCGATAAAATTTGGCAAAGGGCCCGAATATTGTTATTACGGAGTCAATATTACGGCTATGCAGGGCAAATTCAAAAAATTTGGATGAACAGTATGTATGGGAGCCATAGCTATATCTGAACCGATTTCCACCAAATTTGATATATTGGTTTCTAGACTCAATTTGGTTGTAAGTAACAAATTCCATTCCATTTGGGCTAATATTACACGTTTGGTGCACAATAAAAGGCAAATCGGACGAAGATATGATATGAGAGCTATATCCAAATATTAACTGATCTCGATAAAATTTAGCAAGGGTATTTCTGAGTTATATTTGCTATATTTCCCCAAATATCGTTGTTACTGAGTGCATATTACGGCTGCGGAGGAAAAAAATAACAAATCGAATGAACAATATATATGGGAGCTATATCTATATCTGAACCGATTTCGATCAAATTTGGCATACTTATTTTCAGGTCCAATCTGGTCGTACGTGCAAAATTCCACACTATTTGGGCTGATATTACAAGTTTGGTGCACAATAAAAAGTAAATCGGACTAAGATATATATGGGAGCTATATCCAAATCTGAACCGATCTCGATAAAATTTAGCAAGGGTATTTCTGAGTTATATTTGCTATATTTCCCCAAATATCGTTGTTACAGAGCGCATATTACGGCTGCGGAGGACACAAATAACATATTGAATGGACCGATCAAATTTGGCATACTTATTTCCAATCTGGTCGTACGTGCAAAATTCCATACTATTTGGGCTGATATTACAAGTTTGGTGCACAATACATAAATTTTGACCGATTATCTCCAATTTCAATGGGGTTCGTCCGTGGATCAAACAAATTATTTGTGCAAAATTTCATCTGAATCGGGCAATAAATAAATTGTTTACAAAAATACATGGACAGACGGACAGATGGAAGGACATGCATAAATCGATTCAGAATGTGATTATATGCATCAAATATATATATACGAAAAAAAATAAGCACATAGCCAGTCTTCGAACCTGATCGAAGTTAAGAGCCACTTTATCTCCATTCCTTGGAAAAATAGCGTGATTACAACAGAAAGACGGACTCATAAATCGGAGAATGTGTCTGAACTGGAAAATGTGTCTGAAACCTAGAAAATAATCGGAATAAAAAATTGCGAAAGAAGAACTTACCTCCTTATTTTGCAGAACCTTCTGATACCAGATAATTCAATGGTTTAAATTTCAGCCACAATTTCAACCGAATTGGCTGTGCTTAAACGCATTGGGTTCTTAAGGATAAATTCGACTACGGAAGAGTTGTTAATATCCGTTCGACTTTTTTAATATAGCCTTTAAATCTGCGCACCAAGCGATTTAAGGTATTTTAGGGATTATAGAGAATTTGAGACCAATGCTTTCACAATAAATCAGTTTCCATATGGTGAAGGATATAAAAAAATCTTTAAGATCGTCTCATTTTCAAGTTTTTATTAGGGACCCCAAAGTTTTTTTTTCCATATGAACTCAGAAACCCTAACATAAGCAAAATCTACAACAATCAATCGAATGGGAAAGCAAGATTGCCTTTCATATGTGAAAATGGTTTTCGGAAATTGCAGCGAATTTTTAGAACCTTTTTCTAAACCCACTGGACCACTACTTTCATATCGATCCAAAACCGAAGCCTACAGCTATTTTCAATATTTTGTAGGTTGAAAAAACATTTATGGGGATAGATTTTGGCGAATTCTTACAAAGAAATGTCCCTTCTCTCAAGATTGGCATAAATGGTTTATTTTTAATTCCGAAAATTCCAGGACCATATTAATTTCAAAAATTCCATTTTCTCACAACAGTGCATGACAAATTGTAGTCAGAAGTTTGGCTAATTCCATACAGAATTTTGGAACATAAAACGATAAATGTAAACGCCGTAAACTTTTTGAAAAATGTCCCACACTCTTGTCACAATCTTGAAAATCTTACCAAAAAAAAAAATCAAACACCCTTCTCTTTAATGGCCCAACAAAAACGATTAAAAGGATTTGTGATGGACACCATTTACATGGGCCATAAATGTCAATTTTATGGGGAGGTGGAGACCAGGGCATAATGGCAGTGATGGCGAGTGGGATGATTGCAGGGCAATGGAACGTGAAATAAACACATCATAATGTCCACTATTTTAACGACTAGATTTTGGTGTTGTTTTTTCTTTTACTTCTACTTTTACTTGAAAAGAGGAACACAACTGTACCCCTGACTAAGAGGTGTGTGTGTGTTTGTGATGAGTATTTTTCCAATGTTAAAGTTAATACCCTCTAAGATCAATGTTCCCCATGAACAGGGTGAACGATCTCGTTGGAGACGAAACTTTGAAACAACAATTTTCCTCGTTAGGAAAGAATTGAAGAAAAATGGAAGCAAATCCCCCTAAATAATGTTTCAGATATTTAATTTGTTGAGTAGAGGAGGGAGGGAGGGAGTTGGACAAAACAAACAACAACAATGTTGAAGATCATGGCAGCCAAAGACAACATTGCAGCATAAATTACAAAGTTCACACACTTTTTTACAAACAACAGCAACAGCAACAACAACAACAACGGCAACATCAACCACCACCAGCATCAGCAGTGGGGCCAACAACATTGGCAAACTCCATCAAACATTTGAATGTTAGACAGTCCCCCCTATGTTGTGTTCATCCAAAGGATTTCCCTTCATTGTACCGGAACGTCACAGAGCCGGAGAGAGATTATTTCCCTTGTTCCCACTGCCGTGACAGCTGCCGTTCGGCATCATGTATCTATGAGATAAAATTTGTTGCTATCCTCACACATCACACATCCTCATATCCTACCCCGCACCCCATACATCACCCACCAAATGTTGCCGCATTTGTGCCTTGGGCCTGGGGCAGGAAGTCCCCCCATAAATTTTTCGAACAAGACTTCCTTAAGATTTACATTAAGGCATAGCAGGCACACAAGCGCACAGCCACTTCACTCCAGATTTTCCCCCATCTAAAATTTCAAGACATTTTTAGAATGAAAATTGTCTGCCACAGCCACAATTACTGTTGTTGTTGTTGTTGTCGTTGGTGTGATTTTAACCCCCTGCAACGTTAGACACAACATTACAAAAACAAATGCAAAGGCAAAGGAAAACAAAAAGGCTGTGGCGCACACATCAACACATTCATAGATTGCATCAGAGCCTTTCTTATTGCAGTTGTTGCTGTTGTTGTTGGTTTTCCTCCTGCCATGCCCAACAACAACGCCAGTTGAACATCTGTGTCATTCACTTTTATTTTCCTTGGGTGCATCATCCTCTGGCAGCCAACAAACGCTCCAGCACATTGAGCTGCCACAACTACTGACTAATGCCTCAGATCCTCTGGCGCATGCTATTCTTTCTTCCCCCAACAGCATCCATCAGCCAGCGAGGCAACCATCCAGCCATAAAGTAAATGAACTCTAAACAACTGATGTCACAAAGAGGCGATGTGGGATACGTTACTAATTCGTGGGTACTAGTGGAACTAGAAGAAGAGCTGAAGAGGTCTTCTTCGTATATAGAAGAAGAGCTGAAGAGGTCTTCTTCGTATATAGAAGAAGAGCTGAACAGGTCTTCTTTGTATATAGAAGAAGAGCTGAAGAGGTCTTCTTCTTCGTATTTAGAAGACGAGCTGAAGAGGTCTTCTTCGTATAGAAGAAGAGTTGAAGAGGTCTTCTTCGTCTAGAAGAAGAGTTGACGAGGTCTTCTTCGTCTAGAAGAAGAGCTGAAGGGGTCTTCTTCGTATATAGAAGAAGAGCTGAAGAGGTCTTCTTCGTATATAGAAGAAGAGCTGAAGAGGTCTTCTTCGTATATAGAAGAAGAGCTGAAGAGGTCTTCTTCGTATATAGAAGAAGAGCTGAACAGGTCTTCTTCCTATATAGAAGAAGAGCTGAACAGGTCTTCTTCCTATATAGAAGAAGAGCTGAACAGGTCTTCTTCCTATATAGAAGAAGAGCTGAACAGGTCTTCTTCCTATATAGAAGAAGGGCTGAAGAGGTCTTCTTCGTATATAGAAGAAGAGCTGAAGAGGTCTTCTTCGTACAGAAGAAGAGCTGAGAGATCTTCTTCGCACAGTAGAAGAGCTTAAGAGGTCTTCTTCGTCTAGAAGAAGAGGTTCAGAGGTCTTCTTCGTATATAGAAGAAGAGCCGAAGAGGTCTTCTTCGTCTAGAAGAATAGCTGGAGAGGTCTTCTTCGTATATAGAAGAAGAGCTGAAGAGGTCTTCTTCTTATATAGAGGAAGAGCTGAAGAGGTCTTCTTCTTATATAGAAGAAAAGCTGAAGAGGTCTTCCTTGTATAGAAGAAGGGCTGAAGAGGTCTTCCTCGTATAGAAGAAGAGCTGAAGAGGTCTTCTTCGTGTAGAAGAAGAACTTCTATTCGAAGAAGGCGATCTCTTCTTCTTTTTCGAATAGAAGAATAACTTCTCTTCTTCGAATATAAGGAGAGTTTTCCCTCTTCTTTTTCAAAAAAAAAGCTGTTCTTCTTCTTCGAAAAAAAGAGGAGCCTCTCTTCTTCTTCGAAAAAAGAGTAGCTTCTCTTCTTCGACCAAAAAAGAAGAGTTTCTTTTCTTCTTCGAAAAAAAGAAGAGCTTATCTTCTTTTTCAAAAAAGAAGAGCTTCTTCTTCGAATTGAAGGACTTCTTCCTCTTCGAATAGAAGAGAGGAGAACTTCTTCTTCAAGTAGAAGAAGAGGAGAGTTTTTCTTCTTCGATTAGTAGAAGAGGTGAGCTTCTCTTCTTTGATTAGCAGAAGAGGAGAGTTTCTCTTCTTCGATTAGCAGAAGAGGAGAGCTTCTCTACTTCGAATAGACTGTTTGAAGTTTTTTAGAAACCTCCTCTCCCAATTTCTAATGTGTATTCTCTCTCTTCTCTTTCCAGCCACATGCAAAATGTTCTCGCCGCATCCCAACGTGCCATACAATGATCTCAATACTTCATTCACATCGGAGGGTACCGATATTTCATATGATTCCGATTCAACATTTCACATCTACAATGAGCTGAACTATCCAACGGCCCAGCAGCCGCCATACCCTACGCCGTCCCATACCCAACCCATGAGCATACAAAGCAATGCCACTCCCAGCACTGGCATTATTTATGGCTTTCGAACGCGCCATTTGTCCTGCATCGAAGAAAATGATTCCGATTCGCTGCATTCCTCGTCAATACCTAAGCCGGCCTTTGAAATGATTAAGGATGTGGATGAGAAATTCAAGAAACTTATTAAAGAAAATCCCGATGACAGCTTTACTTCGTGGACCGCTGCCGATCAGGGAGAAGATGAAGTGGATCACATTGCCATGATTGATGAATCGCGGGTCTTCGATTTGGATTATCTGGATGAGTTGAGTGCCAGTCAGGTGGTGACCTCGAAAAGTCAAGGAGATGAAGAAGAGGATGAGGAACAGAATGAGGATGAGCAAGGAGAAGAAGAAGAATTTAGTGTCAATGTCAGCGAGGCCCTTTGGCAAAGTACGGTTTCCGAGCCGGTCCATCGCACGGGTTTTATTGGTGGTAATCGTCCACCTGGCATTATGCCTGATATTATGACTACCTCCTGTTATGGAGCCCTCAACACCTCATTTGGCAGTGAAATGTCTGGACCACCAGCCTATATGGAACAACAATCGACACCGCGAAAGACGCCCAAGTCCAACCCTGGCACACCGCAGAAACAGGAACCCATCTATGCCACACCCGATAAACGCCGTGAATGTAATCGCAGTTTTGACTCCTCCTGTCCCTCTCAATCGAGTTCGGTATATGGTGGTTCTATGAACTCCTCCCTGGATTTACGTTGTATGAGTGCCTCCGGGGTATATGGAGTACAACAATTCCATGTGCCACGTCAGGTCAGTGGACAAAATCCTATGGAAATTTCGGGAATTTCTTTGGATGGTTGTAAAACGGAGTGGAATTCTGTTGGTGGAGGTGGTGGTGCTGTAGCGGGAGAAGGAAGTGGTGTTATTTCACCCACCGAAGATTTGACTGAAGAAATGCAAGTCAAGTGCTTGAATGCAGCTGAAAATGGTAAGTCCAATTTTTTTCTTTATTTTTTATTTTAAGAGAGAACCGACATTTCAATTAAGAGTAAATTCTCCTATAAAAAGAGAAAATATTGAAACAATAATCGAAGATAATTTTGATTGATTCTCTTAATTACTTTTCTCATAATATTTTATTTTTACACATTTATTAAAAAAAATAATGATAACAGGGATGGGAGTTCCATCACTATGCAAAAAACAAACGTCCTTTAGAAGCACTTAATTGGGGTCCAAGATTGGGCCTTAAAGACTATTTGATATGCGCCTTTAATAACTTTTTACACAGCAGAATGAAAGGCATAAGGGTTCAAGTCCTACAGCAATTCAAACCTTCTTTTCCAAAAAGGGTTCTCCATGTTTTCTTCGTAGTATGAAAGAGCCTAAAGATCCTTTTCGCCGTTTCGAAGAGGATCTCATGATTTTCTTCATCCCGCAAAATAACTTTACGATTTTCTTGGCCTCTATAAAGAGCTCAAGGTCCTCTTCATTTCGAAGAAAATCTTAAATCCGTCAACGAAAAGCGCAAGGTCTTTTTCGTCTCGAGGAGAGTTTCAGGTCGATTTGTCTCGATAAAAAGCATAAGGTCTTCTTCGTCTCAAAGAAGAACTTAAAGAGAGGCTCATGCTCTCCACTTCTTGTTCTTCGTAAATAAAGGAGAACTCTCCTGCTCGTCTTCTTGGGATAGAAGAAGATGTCTCCAGGCCTTCATCATATAGAAGAGATTTTCTCCAGGTCTTCCTCTTCGTATAGAATAGGACTTATCCAGGTCTTCCGCTTCATATAGCAAAACACCCTTTCACGACTTCTTCTTTGCGTAGAAGAACATTTCGTCTGCTGTCCTTGGTATTGAGAGGGTCGAAAGCATTTTTGTACAAAAGAAGATCCCAAAATTCAGATACCTATCTGTGGCTTCTGTCTGTATGAGATCTTTATTCCCATTAAAGACATATGTAGGCTTTGTTTCCCAAATGTCTTCCTTCTGATGATAAGTAACTTAGGTGATTTTTTTTTCGAAGCATGGCTTATTGGTTTCTTTCTCTAGAAAAAGATGTTAACTTCCTTATCTATAAGGGGAGCCGAGACTGTGTACTTCTAAAAATAAAATTACTAGAGGGGTTTCCTTAAGTAAAAGAGGCCTTGAGTGGCCTAGAAGACATTTTTCATAGCCTCAGGCATAAAACTACAGAGGGTATATAACATTTGATACGAACAAAACGTGCCTCATCGAAATAACGAAATAACCCTTGGTCTCTTAGGACCAAATCCGTTTCAGGACATTTAGAGTCGATTTAGCGATGTCCGTCCATTCATCTGTCTGTCTGGTTGGCTGGTGAGCACGATAACTCTCGAAGGGAGTATCCGATTTGATCCAAACTTGTTACATCGTAATTAGTATTGTCAGAGTTAGATCGAGTTCGGAGATGGGCAATATCTGTCCCCTCCTTCTAATATTTTATTGCACAGATAGAGAAAGGATGATCCGATTTTGCTTCAACTTGGCAAATCCTAATATTTACAGCAGTGCAAGTTCAGGTGCGACAATGGACAATATTGGTCCACTCCATCAAGTACCTCCCCCACAAAGGTAGAAAATTTGGAATAATTATAACTCTTATAAAATGTGATGCAAGAGTCCGATTGTCTTCAAATTTCACACATCACAATATTTTTATCAACCCAAGGTCTGGTGTTAAGATGGAATATATCGGCCCGCTCCTTCTGGTACCTCCCCCACAAAGGGTCATAATTTTGAATATCCACGAAGCTCATAGAACGCGAAATTATTATCGTATTTAATTTAAACTTAGCACCTCTCAATATTTCCATCAACACAAGATCTGTTAAAAAATGGTAGAGATCGGACCATTTCTTCTGGTACCTCCCCCACAAAGGGTCAGAGTTACAAATAACAGCAACGATTGTTAAATCCGAAATAAGCATCCATTCCATTCTCTTCATATTTCGGACATCCCATTATTTTTACTAACCCAAGATCTGCTGTGAAGTTCGGATATATCAGCCTACTCCTTCTGGTACCTCCCCCACAAAGGGTCAAAGTTTTTAAATATCCATGAAGTTCATAGAACGCGAAATTAACATCCTATTCCATTCAAACTCAGCACCTCTCAATATTTCCATCAACACAAGATCTGTTAAAAAAAATGGTAGAGATCGGACCACTTCTTCTGGTACCTCCCCCACGGAGGGTCAAAGTTACGAATAACCGAAACGATTATTAAATCCAAAATGAGCATGCAGTTCTCTTCACATTTCGGCTATCCCATTATTTCTACTAATACAAGATCTGCTGTGGAGATCGGATATATCGGACCACTTCTTCTGGTACCTCCCCCACAAAGAGCCAAAGTTTTTGAATATCCATGAAGCTCATATAACACGAAATTAACATCTAATTCCATTCAGACTTGGCAAATCTCAACCATCAACACAAGATATGTTATAAAGATGATATAGATCGGACCATTTCTTCTTCTACCTGCCCCACAAAGGGTGAAAATTTTGAATTACCAAAACGATCATAAAATCCAAAATGAGCATCCGGTTCTCTTCGTATTTCACACATCCAATTATTTCTACTCACACAAGATCTGCTGTGAATATTTGATATATCGGTCCACTCCTTTTGGTACCACCCCCACAAAGGGTCAAAACTTTCAATATTCGATTCCATTCAGAATTGGTACGTCTCAATATTTCCACTAACACAAGATCTGTTATGAAAATGGCAGAGATCTGCTAATTTCTTCTGGTACTTCTCCCACAAAAGGTTCAAAATTTTGAAAACTCATCCTATTCTCTTCAAATTTCACACTTACAAATAACATTTGCTAACACAAGATCTGTTGTAAGGTGATATATAACTGCGAACCCCTTTTGGTAATTCACCCACAAAAAGTCACAATTTCCAATACTTATATCTGTCATAACGTGCGAAATAAGTCGTCGATTCTTTAGAACTTGTTTTTTAGAAATTTTTCTCTTAATCAGAAATCTCTGTGGATTATAGAATTGATCGAAATTTATGATTTCGAATTTGCCGATATTAGTCAATATTGGCCGACTGCTTCACAACCTCCCCCATTAAGGGTCAACTGTTGGAATAATCATAACACAAGGCTGGGGGTATATATCTGTCGGCAAAACCGACTGAATATATTTAACTTGTTTTTATTTCCTTTTCATTTAATTTTAGAAAATTATTTTATTTTCTTTGTATTTTTTTTATATTTTTTAATTTAATATTTTTTTTTATTTTGTTAATTTACATTAATTATTTTTTCTTTGTTTTATTTTGTTATTTTATATTAAATATATTTTTTATTTATTTTGTTTTTATTTTTTTATTTTATTTTTTTTTTTATTTTATTTTTATTTTTTTTTTTATTTTCATTTATACGTTATTTTGATTTAATTTTTGTTTCATCTTCTTCCAATAATTATAACTTTCCATCTCTGCATTATTGGCCTCATCATATGAGAGAGCTCTCTCTCTCCAATTGGAATTCACATTTCAAAGAGAATCAATTCTCAGTTATTCTCTTCTAACTAATATTATTAGTAATAAACAATTTAATCTCTTGCCACAAATTATGGACTAATCTCATCGGAAAATCTTCCCTACCTTAATTATGTTCATTATGTTCATTTTATTTTAGAAAATTATTTTATTTTTTGTTGTATTTTATTTTTTATATTTTTTAATTTATTATATATTTTTTTATTTATTTTTATTTTATATTAATTTTATTTTTTCTTTATTTTATTTTTATTTTCTTATTTTGTTATTTTATATTAAATATATTTTTTCTTTATATTATTTTTATTTATTTTTTTATTTGTTTTATTTTCATTTATACGTTATTTTGATTTTATTTATTTTTTCCATTTTCTTCCAATAATTATAACTTTCCATCTCTGCATTAATGCCCTCATCATATGAGAGAGCTCTCTCCAATTGGAATTCATATTTCAAAGAGAAAGAAATTCTCAGCTTTTCTCTTCTAACTAATAAGCAATTTAATTTGTGGTACAACCAACAGATGGCGTTGTTGTGTTGCGTTAATCTTTGGCCACAAATTATGAACTAATCTAATCGGAAAATCTTCCCTAGCTTAATTATGTTGTTCTCAGCTATTATTCCTTACCTGTTTGTGTCTTACAAACAACCGCTCAAACTTGCAAATAGCAAACTGTCTTTATGTCTTAGCCACATGTCTGGCAGATAGCTGTCTTTGTTTTTGTTCCTACAGCAGACAAAGGAAACTAGTTCGTCTTGCTTCAGCTGGCAATGTTAGGACCTGTCTATCACCGCAGCAGTTAAAGGCTTCTGCTAGCAAAATTGTAGCCTTTTTTCTTCTTCACAAAAACAATAAGAAAAAAATAAAAAGAATTCTGGTTCTTGTTTGCTAGCCATGTGGGTTCTTGTCTCATGTGTGTGAGTGTGTCTGTCTTCCAGTCTTTTCTTCTGTTTGCCTTTGGATCCTGCTGATCATGGGTTTCTTTGCAAAGACTTTTGTTTGCAGTTCTGTTTAACTGACAGACGAATGGATGGACGGACGGACAGACCGATGTTTTGTAGTGGAACCAATTCATGTCTTTTGACTTGTTTTCGTTCTGCCGTTCAGAAGTTTGTTTGAAGAAGCTTCTTAGTCTGCTTTTGCGTCGTTGATGTATTTGTTTGTGTGTCGGCTGGTCTTCAAGTCTGGCTACCTCACGATGGAGCTCCTCCAATACTCACTGGCTACCTACCTACCTACCTACCTGTGGTGTGCACATAACCCAAGCCAGGCTTTCCCACACGTTTTTTTTTTTTGTTTGTGCCCGCTTGGTTATTAGACATGAATTGTATCATCGAAATAGAAGTGGGGCAAGGGGATGGGAGGGAGGTTGCAGTCTGCAATTGTTGTTCGTGTTGTTGTTGTTGCTTATAAACAAAGTTGTAGTTGTCTTATATTGCCTGTT